TATAAACAACAGAAACTTCTCACTGGTCTAGAGGCTGGAAGTCCTAGATCAGAGTGACAGCATAGTAGAGTTCTGGTGAGAACCTTTTTTTTCCAGATTTCAGACTGCTGATTTAGATCCTCAAGCATGTCTCTGGAGAGCAGAGAGAGGAAGCATGTTCATGTACTCTCACAAGGGCAGCAGTCCCATTCAAATAGGGCCTCATCATTATGACCTCATCTAATCCAAATTACCTCCAAAAGACCCCACCTTGTAATAGCATCACATTGGGGAGTAGAGTGGCAACTTACACACAAACATTAGTCTATAACAGTATATCTTTCTTTCTTAATTGTACTTTGGGGCTCTGGGGTACATGTGCACATCCTGCATCCTGCAGGATTGTTGCATAGGTACATACATGCCATGGTGGTTTGCTGTCTCCATCCCCCGTTGCCTACATCAGTCATTTCTCCCGGTGTTATCCCTCCCCATCCTTACCTCTCCCCACTGTCCCTCCCATCTCCTCCCCTGCACTCCCCCACCTACCTCAGTGATTGTTGTTTCCTTCCCTGTGCCTGAGTGTTGTCATTGTTCATTACCAGCTTATGAGTGAAAACATATGGTGTTTGGTGTTCTTGTGTCAGTTTGCTGAGAATGATGGTTTCTAGATTCATCCATGTCTTTCTCTACAAAGGACAAAAACTTGTCAGTTTTTTTATGGCTGCATAGTATTCCATGGTGTATATGTGCCACATTTTCTTTGTCCAGTCTATCATCGATGGGCATTTGGGTTGGGTCCAGGTGTTTGCTATTGTAAACAGTGCTGCAGTGAACATACGTGTGCATGTGACTTAATAATAGAACGATTTATAATCCTTTGGATATATAACCAGTAATGGAATTGCTGAGTCATACAGAATTTCTATTTCTAGGTCCTTGAGGAATCGCCACACTGTCTTCCACAATGATTGAACTAATTTACACTCCCACCAACAGTGTAAAAGGGTTCCTTTTTCTCCACATCCTCTCCAGCATCTGTTGTCTCCAGATTTTTAATGATTGCCATTCTAACTCGCATGAGATAGTATCTCAGTGTGGTTTTGATTTGCATCTCTCTAATGACCAATCATGATGAGCATTTTTTCATATGTTTGTTGGCCTCATAAATGTCTTCTTTCCCATTTTAGTATATGTGCTGCTGAAGCGAGCACATAAATGTCTTCTTTTGAAAAGTGTCTCTTCATCTCCTTCACCCACTTTCGAATGGGTTTGTTTTTTCTTGTAAATCTGCTGTAGGTCTTCGTTGATTCTGGATATTGGCCCTGTGTCAGGTGGGTAGATTGCAAAAGTTTTTTCCCATTCTGTTCGTTACCAGTTTTCTCTAATGATTGTTTCTTTTGCTGTGCAGAAGCTCTTAAGTTTACTTAGATCGTATTTATCTATTTTGGCTTTTGTTGCCATTGCTTTTGGTGTTTTAGTCATGAAGTCCTTGCCTGTGCCTGTGTCCTGAAAGGTGCATAACAGCATATCTTTGGCATAAATTACTAGAAGTGGAATTGCTGGGTCAGAAGGCACATGTAGTTTGGTTAGTTATTGCCAAATTCTCCTTTATGCAGATTATAGCAAATTCTCATTCCTGTCAGCAGTATATGAGAGTTCCTGTTTCTCTGCATTCTTACCAACAGATAGGGTACTGGTATGACCTTTTTTAAAATAATTATTTAACAGTTTATATATTTATATTTTCAGTGAGGTAAAATTCCTGTAACATAAAATTTACCGTTTAAACAACTTCAAAGTGTACAACTGAGTGTTCTTTAGTATATTCAATTATCACCATGATCTAAATTCAGACTGTTTCTATCATCCCCAAAAGAAACTCTTTACCTGTTAGCAGCCATTCCCAACTCTACCGTACCCCTAGCAACTGGCAGTCGGTATTGTACTTTCTTCTCTGTAGATTTGCATATTCTTGGTGGAATCACAATTTTTGATCTTTCATGTCTGGTTTCTTTGTAGTATTATGTTCTCAAGGTTCATCCATGTTGTAGCATGTATCAGTGCTTCATTTCTTTTTTTGCTAAACAATATTTCATTGTTGAGTATACCACATTTTGTTAATCTGTTTATCCATTGATGGATATGGATATTTGGGTTATTTTCACTTTTTCGGTATCATGGATTATGCTACTGTGAAAATTCACATATAAGAGTGTTTTGTTTTATGACAAGGTGTCTCTCTGTTGCCCAGGCTGGAGTGAAGTGGCATGATCACAGCTCACTGCAGCTTCAATCTCCTGGGCTCAAACAATCCTTGACCTCCCAAGTAACTGGGGGTACAGGCATGTGCCATGACACCCAGCTACTTTTTGTGGGTTTTGTAGAGATGAGGTTTTGCTGTGTTGCCCAGGCTGGTCTTGAAATCCTGAGCTCAAGCAGTCTACCCGCCTCAGTCTCCCAAAGTGCTGGGATTACAGATGTGAGCCACCATGCCCGGCTGTGAGTTTTTATTTGGACATATGTTTTCATTTCTCTTGGGCATATGTATACCTAGAATTGGAATGGTAGGCTCATATGGTAACTCCATGTTTAATCTTTTGAGGAGCTGCCAAACTATTTTCATAGTGGTTGTACCACTTTATATTCTTCCAGGTTCCATTTTTTTCACATCCTTGCCTATACTTGGTATATCTTCTTAATTAATTGTCTGGTCATATCTTTGCATTTTTTTTCTATTATTTCCTCTCTCATTTTAAAAGAATTTCTGTATATATAAAGGGTATTAGCTTTTTTCTATGATACATGGTACATGTATTCCTCTTTGGGGTTTTTTTTGGCATCTTTTGACTTGGTTTATGATTATTTTTTCCCTTTTTTGCTGAGCTGTCATACTTCAAAAAAAAACTAATTGGAAAATACTTCAGCTGAAAAATATATTATTCGTGCTTCGTTTGATACCAACAGAGGGTTGCCCCTTTTCTTTGCTGGGCAGATAGTGGGGAGCCAACAGGGTCTGGCTCTGTTGCCCAGGCTGGAGAGCAGTGGCACGATCTTGGCTCACGGCATTGTTCCCCTCCTGGGCTCAAGTGATTCTCCCACCCCAGTCTCTTGAGTGATTGGGACCACAGGCATGCTCCACGACTCCTGGCTCTTTATTGTATTGTTTTGTAGAGACGGAGTTTTGCGAAGTTGGCTTGGCTGGTCTTGAACTTCTGAGCTCAGTCTGCCTGCCTCAGCCTCCTAAAGTGTTGGAATTACAGATAGGAGCATCTGCCTGGCTGGATCTGTGGGTTTTTTTGTGTGCTTTTGTTTGTTTTAAGACAGTCTCTTCTGTAGCTCAAGCTGAACTGTATTGATGCAGTCATAGCTCACTACAGCCTGAACCTCCTGGGCTCAAGCTGTCCTGGGACTACAGGAACATGCTACCATGCCCAAGCTAAATTTTGTATTTTTTAGTAGAGACAAGGTCTTGCCATGTTGCTCAGGCTGGTCTCAAACTCCTGGGCTCAAGCAATCTTCTTGCCTCAGCATTCCAAAGTGCTAAGATTTTGGGCATGAGCAGCGCACGTGGCCTGCCTTGAAGGATCTGAGCAGGGATTGTACTCCAGGTTTCCAAGGCTCTCTTTTTTTCTGCACCCAGCTTTTCTCAGTGCAAGTCTGGGGGTGTCCTGAGACTGTTCTGGTTTATTCCTGAGCCCTTATTCCTGTTTGCTAAACCCTTTCACTGTTTTGAGAGGCTCCTTCTCAGCTCAGGTTCAGGATCAGTAACTGTATTCAGGAGACACCAGGGTGTTTGACACAGTCTCCACCCTTCCTTCTCACCAGAATCCTGGGCCCCTTGTTCTGAAGATTTGATCAGTTGCTGCCAAAAGCTATGCTGGTTTCTCTTGCATTAGCCTTTTCCTGGCTCTTCAAGATCTTAAGGGCTCAGAATTGGCAAATGCCCTTTGGGGAAAAGTAGCCAACTGTTAATGTATCATTTCCTGTCTTCATCTGTGTCACTCATTGTCTTGGTTGCCTCAGAATGTCTCTGTCTTGAGCCCTTCAAACGTTATTTGGGCTAAAAAAATTTTTACACGCCTGTAATCCCAGCGCTTTGGGAGGCCGAGGCGGGTGGATCACGAGGTCAAGATATCAAGACCATCCTGGTCAACGTGGTGAAACCCCATCTCTACTAAAGATACAAAAAATTAGCTGGGCATGTTGGCGCGTGCCTGTAATCCCAGCTACTCAGGAGGCTGAGGCAAGAGAATTGCCTGAACCCAGGAGGCGGAGGTTGCAGTGAGCCGAGATCACGCCATTGCACTCCAGCCTGGGTAACAAGAGCGAAACTCTGTCTCAAAAAAGAGAATTTTAATCTGGATTTTCATTTTTCTCAATGGGAGTTTAGGCTTGTGCAGACTATTCCTTCAGACTTAAATAGAAGTCCTTTATGGCATTTAAAAAATTTAATTTTGTATGCTTTTTTGGTTTTGTTTTCAGTTGCTCTGTGTCTGATTCTCCTGTTAACAGTGACTTGGTTAAGCGGAGGACCTTATTTTAATTATAGTGTTTTTAATCACTAGCATCTAGTATCTATAATGACTATTCATTGAATTTGTATTTTATGAGGAAAGAACTTTGCTTTTAGGTTAAAGTTTTTGAAAATAGGCAGCAAGTTAAAAACATTTGGTTTTGCTATGAGATTTTCCTACAAATTTAAAGTCTGTGGTAAAAAAGGGGGGTAGGTGGGGTTGTTACATTATTTGTAGATACTTTTTGACACAGCTGAAATTAGAGTCCTGGCCTTTTAATAATTTGTTTAACAAATATTTATTATTCTGTAAATCAGGTTCTACTGGGTGTGGGGAGAGACAGTGATTATTTTTGTGGATTAGGTCTCTATTCTCCTCAGGCTTCTTCTGCATATAACATATCAAGAGAGAATATAGGTCATTTGACATGAACATCAACATATCACATTGTAATTGGTAGATATCAAGTATAATACACCAAAAATTATTTTGTTCTCTTAACAGAATATGACAGATACTTAGCATCTAGCAAAATAATGGCAGCTGCTTATCTTGACCCCAACTTGAATCACACACCAAATTCGAGTGCTAAGACTCACCTGGGTACTGGTGTGGAACGTTCTCCTGGTGCGATGGAGCGAGTATTAAAGGTCTTCCATTATTTTGAAAGTAATAGTGAGCCAACCACCTGGGCCAGTATCATCAGGCATGGAGATGCTACTGATGTCAGGGTAAGTATGCTTTCTGTGAGACATCTTTAGTGTTTATTTAGGTTAAAACTTAATGGCATGTATGAAAACAATGTAATAATTTTTATTTAACTTAGGAACTTTCATATTACAGAGGTATTAAACTTTTTGTTATAAGATTTATTAGTTAATATGCAATTGACCTGAGTTTTAGTTGTTGTAAAGTTTCTTAGGAAAATAATGACCAAATCATATTTTAGTCATATAATGCCATTGACTTATTTTTCCCTCCTAGGCTTCTTTTTTAAACTTTTGGATGAGTACTGGGAAACAATACAACCAAAATAGCCTCTAATACTCATGAAATTAGCTATTTTTCTAGAAAGTATATTTTGAAGGTATTTACATGATTTCAGATGGGATAATTTATTTTAAAACTGTTGAGCATATGCTGTGTGTCAGACGGTATGCTAGGTTCTGGCTGTAAAAGGTCTCGGCGAGGTCCTTGCTCTTACAGCTTAGAGCGTGTAGGGACAGACATCATGAATGTGATTATAGTGCAGTGCAGAAGTGCTTCACTGGAGGTTCTTGTGGAAGCTTGGAGGAGTAACACCTTTTAAATACTAGAAAGGATTTCCTTTGGGTCTGGGAAGGTGAGTAAAGGTAGTAACACGGAATTGTGGGAGAAGAGCCTGCTAGGCAAAGATGTAGGTCATCTTTCTGAAAGTGGGGAATGAGAAGGTAGCACTGTGATTTCAGAAAGCTCAGTTCAGTATTTAAATTTTTAGTGTTTGCTTTGATGAAGTGTTAAATACCTTCTCTTTCCTAGCCCCCTCCACCTAGTCTATATTCATCTTTAAGGAGAAGTTTCCAGTGACAAGGAAGTTTAGATATATCTCTTTTCTCTCTCTCTCTTTTTTTTTTAACAATAGCAAAATTAATTTTCTACTCTCTAACTCATATGCCTTTATTATTTTTAACCAAAGAAAATGGATTGGTAGAACTTAGATATAAGGCTAAAAGATTGGGCGCAGTGGTCTACACTTGCAATGCCAGTACTTTGGGAGGCCAAGGTGGTGGGTCACTTGAGGTCAGGAGTTTGAGACCAGCCTGGGCAACATGGCGAAATCTCATCTCTACAAAAAATATAAAAATTAGCCAGCTGTGGTGGCACATGCCTATAGTCCCAGCTACTCAGGAGGCTGAGACAGGAGAGACACTGGAACCCAGGAGACAGATTGCAGTGAGCTGAGATCACCGCGTTGCATTCTAGCCTGGGCAGCAGAGCAAGACTCTGTCTAGAAAAAAAGAAAAAAAAAGATTTAAGGCTAAAGTCTTGTATATAAATTTTACATAATTTTTCATTACCTCTGAAATTTAATGTCAGCACACTATTCAGATGGATTAATTATTAAAAATATGATAGCCTCTTTTATAAAGTTTTTATGAAGCCTGTTGGCTTTTTCTAGTTTTTTCTAATTCTGTGTTTTACTTTTAACCTGATAAACACTGTCATTTGGTGGAAAGGCTTGCAGTGAGTATCCTGCCATAAGGTTAATCAGATAATTCATACTGGAAAGAAACCTTGTAGATGTAACTTTATGTAAGGCTTTTAGTGTATGTTCTGGTCTTCGTAGATTTCAGATACAATGAAGGAGGAAACTCTTCAGTAAAATCATTTTATCAGCTCTAATGAACTTCAGAGCGTTCATAAAGGAGGGAAACCTTTCAGGGATTATGAATTTGACAAGACATTTGGCAAAAATATTCAAGACTTATATCAGAAAACTCACCTAGGAAAGACTGTAACGATAAGCCATGGTTTTACTATTAAACTTTCTGCATGTAAGGGGATTACTCCCACAGAGCCAGTGTCACTGCAGGCATGTCAGCCTTTAGCCAGTGTTAAAAACTTCCTAGTCATACATTCATATTGTGAGGAAAAATTTACATCATATACAAATGCATAACTTATCAGAATTCATTTATCAAACTTGTAAAGATTAATATGATCAAATCTATATGGCTACAAACAAGATGTTTTATTTCACAGAAATTGGCAAATTATCAGTTAATTATTTTCAAATTGAGGCAGAAAAATTACAGTTGGCATTGAATTCACCATGGCCCTTTCCTAGGATAGCATGAGGTTCTCATGATACTGAGTCACTGTGATGGAAGACTGGATATTATTCGTAACCCACTTCCCATTGAATGCTTTAATGCTCTAACATTTGAAAATGCAGTATCTTAATTGTAAATTAATGAGTAGATTTGCGCATCTGAGCAAAGTAGTACTGAAGAGCAAGTCTGTGACATCTTTCTCCCAAAGAAGAGGTATCAGACAAAGGAACATTATGGATACAAAGTATTGTTAGGAAAGAGAAAAATGGAATAAACACCATAGTATTTGAAAGCCTGATGATCTTCGAACAGGAAGTGGGGATTGTTAGAATTTAGATTTAAGGACTGACCGTTGAGTAGCAGCATCAAAGGGGATGCCACACAACTAATTTCTGAAATGATATACCTCATTGTTATTCAGGTACTGAACAAATTCGATTCAGTCTCAAACTCAGTATAGCTACGCTGCCCATTATCGCAGCTATGTGCAGCTGTTGAGCACTTGAATGTTGCTACTCTGAATTGACATGTGCTATAGTATAAAAATACATTCCACATTTCAAAGACTCAGTAAGAAAACAATAAAATATCTCATAAGTGTGTTATGATTACATGTCGAATGATAATACTTTTGATATAGTAGGTTAACTATATCATTGAAATTGAATTCACCTTTTTATTATTTGTTTTTTTTGGCTGTGGCTACTAGAAATTTTAAAATTACTTATGTGGCTTGCATTGTATTTCTTCTGCTGGACAGTTGTGCTCTATAGAAAGCAATTCTCAGAAAGACTGTTTGAATCAGAAAAACCAAAACCTTTTGAGGAGTTTAAAGATTTGTTTTTACCAAGAGCATCTGGATTTTTGTTACATTTCATTATAGTGGCTTTATTTTCATGCCTCAATAAGTATTACTGCTTTTACAATTATATGTGCTAATTGTACATTAATTAATGTTTGGTTGCTGAAAAGATTCACAGGATTCCACAGTTTATAGGCAAAATCCATTACAGCAACACTAGTATAATGATCCTCATTTAAGTGATCTGAAGATCTTTGGTACAGGCTTCTTGGCCTTTGATATGTTTTTTCTGTAGATGTGAAACCATTACTGGCTTAAGTGTGAAGCACCTCAGTATGAGGAAGTGGTGGGGGTCTGTGAGAGGATCACACAGGTACTTTCCATCTATATAGCCAGTCTCAACCTGTGGACCTGCCCAAGTGCTGCCAAAATCAGGTGCACCTTGTCAGTCCAGTTATGATTATTAAATCGTACTGACAGGCTGTATATTCTGCCCCTCAAACAGCTCAGGAACCCGTGGTTACAAACGTCACTTATCTTGGCCATAGGTTTGGCCAGGTGTCAGTACCGTGCTTCAGGCAGCTCTAGAGAGAAGTATGGGGTCAATCTAAAAGAGCCAAGAGAAATCCAGGCTGTACAATGTTGAATAAGATCAGTCATCTGGAAACATGGCAGTGATAATTCAGAAAAATACTAACATAAAGAAAATTCCCAAATTCTACCAGAGAAGTCCCTATCTAGGAGAAAGAATGATATTTACTTTTTTTTTTTTGAGACAGAGTTTCACTGTCATTGCCCAGGTTGTAGTGCAATGGCGCTATCTCGGCTCACCACAACCTTAGCCTCCAGGGTTCAAGCAATTCTCCTGTCTCAACCCCTCGAGTACCTGGGATTACAGGCATACACCACCATGCTTGGCTAATTTTGTATTTTTAGTAGAGACAGGGTTTCTCCATGATGGTCAGGCTAGTCTTGAACTCCTAACCTCAGATGATCCACCTGCCTCAACCTTTCAAAGTGCTGGGATTAAAGGTGTGAGCCACCGCACCCAGCCTACGCCAGACTTTTCATCAGCAATGCTGGATGCAAGAAGACATTGGAACAGTATCTTCAGAGAGCTCAGGGAAAATAACGTGTACCTTAGAAGTCTATCAGATAATTTATTAATCAAGATAATGTGAAATGAAGGTATCTACAGAGAAGTAGTGATGTTAGAAAGCTAGCAGCATCCAGTTTTGAAAAAAGAATTAGATGATATTATGCAGTATGGAAAAAAGTGAGCCCAGAAGAAAATACTGGAGCAGGATGCAGAGACAGTGGTCCATTGTCATACTTGCTCCCTTGTATGCTGTCCCTCTTGTACCTCTCTTAATGTTTCCATAATCTCTTGAATCTACCACCACGATTTAATACAACTTCTGCCTATTCTCCACCTGTCTCCATTCTCTGATTGGTCTCATTCTAGATTTGCAACCTTAGTGCTACCCAGCTGTCATGCTGTTTGTCCCCATCTTGTTCTCTCCTACACAACCATTTCACACCTCCTCCACTTTCTTCAACCTGCAGTACTTGAAAACGTCCACACATTTCTGTGTCTTCTCTTTCCCCAGCATTTGTACCTCACTTCTCTGTCTGTACACTTCTTGCTACAAAATAACCATCCAATGCTCCAGTTAAAAAGGGTTACTTCATCTTTTAGTCAATTAGATCCATTCATAGTCGTCTTCTACTCCTCTTTTGCTCTCAAGCCATTTCCAATATATTAACCAATTCTATCCACTTTATCTTCAAAAATGTATTTGAAACCTACCTATTTCATATTGCCTCCACTGCTACCCCTTTCACCCCTTTCTTTGAGCTGCTCTCTATAGCTGCCTTAAAATGTCTCTCCCATACAGTACGGCCTGGTATCCTAACTGAAATCTTGTTTCCCTACTTGCGCTCCTCAGTCTGTTGACAACCCAGCAGCCAGAATGACCCTGGAGAGATGAAAGCCAGAGCACTTCACTCCTCCACTCAGAACCTATTTTCATTTAGTAAACATGCACGTCCTTTGAGAGTCTTCCCCATGTCCCCCATCTCCTCCCACCATCATACCCTGTCACCTTCTGTCCTC